ATGGAGGCAGGTCAAATTCGCCAGTCTCCTGCAATCCTTTCCTGCCACCCCAGTTGCTAATGCACATCAGAACGTGGTGCACAGCATTTGGAATTTGCCAGGCGCATTTTGCATCTGGCTATCAGCCACTTGCGCCCAGGCCTGGGCGCCTGGATGGTACCTGACGTCTCTACCACCTGGAGGTACATGCCTGGGGAACTTTGGATCTTGACTATTTTCACATACCGTCGAATTCTATCCATTATATATTACCTACACAATCAAAACAAATGTCAGGAACCAAAAAAGTAATACTGAAAAATTCCGAGCCATCAGACCCCAAAATGGCAACTAGACACTCCATTTTGGCGACTGTAACCTTGGTTTAAGGAGCCATTTGGCGCCTAGCATATGTGAGTTTCTAACAATGGGCGCACCTTGGCTGCTCCTGCATGCTTGCTTGATCTTGGAATTGATCTTCAGAATGGCAGGTGGGAATTGCAGGTGCCCCCCCTTGGTAAAAAATAAATAAATCCCTGCTTATGGAGATCTCAGTGGTCTAGGTGATAGGCTAAAAAAGGCTGTGTACAAACCATATATCTAAAGCACACGCACACCCTAAATCCTGGGAACTGTGGTTCGTTGAGGGTTGTAGCCCTATGAGGTGTAAATTACAGTTCATAAGATTCTTTTTGAGGATGCTTTAAATGAGTGGTGTGTACACAGTCTGTAACTCTTCTCCCTAGTATGGGAGATTGCCACAAGCAATGCACTTCTGAAATCCAGCTTGGTAGCTCAGTCAGTAGAGCATGAGACTCTTAATCATGGTTCAAGCCCCATGTTGGGCAAAAGATTCCTGCATTGCAAGGGGTTGGACTAGATGATTCTTGTGGTCCCTTCCAACTCTACAACTCTATGATTCTATGATGTAGAAGAGCAGTCCCATGTGAGATTCCCCCACATTCTGAACTCACCTGGTCTCAGCAACAGCATGAGCAGGTGGGTTGGAGCATATATTTATGAACTTTCTCCAGGACAGGGTTCTGAATACTGGGCCTTTCTAGCCAATTACTGCATGGAATATACAAATTCTCTCTTTGCTGTTAGTGCTTGGTATTCATCATCATCATCATCATCAACAACAACATCAAGCAACTCCAGTTTTCAACTGGTTGTCTAGACCCATCTCACATACTGGGAGCAATCGACAAATGTTTAAATGGGAACTGGACAGAAGCCATATTCACACACATGCCTTGAAGGTTGCAAAGAAACAAGGGCAAGCTATAGTAACAATTAACATTTTAGAGAAAGACAATGAATATGATTAGTATGATCAAATCACCTGTGCCTGCTAGGGAAAAAGGAAGCTTTTAACAGTACTAAAATACAGAATTGATTTGTACACATATTTGATAAAATCGATGCAATTAGCAAGCAACCGAACACTAGAAAGGAAAATTGATTGCTAGAAGAGCCTAGAGCAGAAGGTAATCAGTCCATTCTTCTGGATCCTCTCCATACAATAAAAAATTGTTCTTCCTTAATCGCCCCTAAATTATTTCCCTATTAATAATGCCATTACATAGCTATTCTTTTATTCCTATTATCTACTGTCCTCCTTGAAAAGCATTTAAAAGCTGTTTTTAGAGCAGCATACTCTAGCAATTTTTTAAATATCTGCGGCACAATGCTACAAGCGGAAACTGAACAATAGCACGTAACAAAAGGGAGAAAAGCAATTTGGAAACCAGTTCTAACAACCAAATCAAACAAACGAGATTATCAGATAATGGGTTTTGATTTTGTAGGATTCTACCAGGTTTCTCAGTAGGTAGAAACTCAAGGTTCTACACAACCATGCAAGATCTGGGCCGCGCTGTGTAACCGGAATGATAACAACTTCGTCGGCAAGGAATTAACATACAGAAAATAAGTAAGAAAATAACATACAGAAAATCAGCTCACTATGGAGTCAAAGCCTCTGCTAGTGGTAGGGTATCACTAAAGTTAATCATGGTAGCAACTCCAGTGTGTTGAGCAAGTTCCACAACTTAGGGATTGCCACGAGAATGCCCTCTTAAGGGCTACCACTGCCCTAGCATACGATGGTTGTGGAAGCTCCTAAAAGGTTTTCTTTGCCAGTCTAAGTACCTGGGAAGGTCTGTACAGAAGGTGGACTTTTGGTTATTTGGGGCCTGAGGCATTTATGGCTTTAAACACAAACATGAGCATCTTGAATTGGTACCACAAAACAAACCCGCAACCTGTACAGTGGTACCACGGGTTAAGAACTTAATTCGTTCCGGAGGTCCGTTCTTAACCTGAAACTGTTCTTAACCTGAAACACCACTTTAGCTAATGGGGCCTCCCGCTGCCACCGCCATGCGATTTTGGTTCTCATCCTGAAGCAAAGTTTTTAACCCGAGGTACTATTTCTGGGTTAGCGGAGTCTGTAACCTGAAGCGTCTGTAACCCGATGTACCACTGTACAGTTGTTGTAAAACAAGTGGGTAGGACAACCAAGGCATTTCTTTCAACCAGGAATCAAGTCCCATACCTTCAAAGATAGCAAGGTAGCCAAAGCAGGGTAGCCAAGATAGCCAAGGCCTCTGAGACTTAACTGGACCCAGTGCTAAATATAAAGAACTGCAAGTACAGATCAGGAAGTCAACCCAGTAAGTGATACACTGCAGGGGGGGGGGCTGGGAGGGACGCAGTGCTTTGCCCCACACTGCTTTTGTGGGCAGCGGGCACGCATGCCATGCCCCCCTCAGCTTCCTACAGGTGGAGGGCACCAGGGAGGGATGCAGTTCTGGCGGCGCCCCCCACCCCTGGGATGTCTTGCCTCTGGGTGTCCTGCCCTATGGAGTGGTATCACTGGGGCTCCCTATGCCACTGCATAGTTCCCATGTACAGTTTTCATGATTCATCTGCAAATACCCTGAGAAGGCGGTGATAAGTGTGCCCACTAGGGCAAATTTTAAGCGAGTTGGTGTAGCACAACTGGGGGGCAGTGGAAAGGGCTAAGCTACAAATCCTCACGTCCCTACTTGTACCTGCCCTTAACTATTAAAATGACTGTAGGCAACTCATTTTCCCATCCCCAGTCATAGAATCATAGGATTGCAGAGTTGGCATCCTAAGGATCATCCAGCCAAACCCCCATCAAACCTGCAACCTTGGTGTTATCAGCACCACACGCTAAGCAACTGAGCTGTCCAGGCTGACTTCCTCCATCTGCAATATGATGGTGAGGAAATAATCCTGATTCGCTACACACATATGTTGTTAAGGGCTACAAAAATATAATGCACATAAAGCATATGGGGTGGGGAGTACCAATGCTGCATACAATTTCTATTATAAATCAAGTTTCAAGTCGGCTCATTCTGGGTGGCTATTTTTTTAACACGGCTATTTGCACGGCTACCTTTTTATTGGCTTCTCTAAAAAATTTAAGCCACTGCCTTGCCCAAAACCTCTGGCAAGCAGCACACACAGTATCAGAAAACCCCATACTGTCACAAAACCTTCTCTATTCAGGCAAGCGATGTAGGTTTATACTGTATAGCCATTTCCAACACGGTCCTTTGTTGCCACTTGGAACTATTTCCAGCCTCACAGCTCTTTCAAATTAATTTTGTCCAACAGTGGGTTTAGGCACATGAGTCTCAGAAACAATTTTAAATGGCCTAATTTTGACTTCAGCCGGTCTCTATGGAGATTAATTGAAATGTTGTATATCTAGGTAGTATGAAGGTAGGGGGGCGGGGAATAGAACAGGCATAATAAGGAGCTCATAGTAGATGTTTAAAGCCAGGAAGTGCAAAGTAAAAAGAAGAAGAAATCAACAGCTTAATCTTTCAAGTCTCCCTTAACCCCTATTATAAAGTGTTTAAGATTTGCTCCTGCATTGGGAACTGCGAGCATGTGGGTGCATAGGAGATAACGCCAGGCTGAACACCATTCCTATGCTCTAGTCAAACGAGATCAGCTAGGAAGTTTCTAAACTGCAACAGGCCAGAATAGTCCTCTGCACCTCAGTCTCTTCCCCACCCTAAAGCAGAGTACAATAATGATCCATTGTAAGCTGACACAGTCTCTCCATTTACAAAGAATGATAAAAGTGGTCATAGCAAAAAAATAAAATAAAATAAATGAGGCCAATAAGCATAGCTGCTAGCAGACTATCCCAGGAACTGTGTTCCTGCTGGACTCTATGCAGAAATGCTGGTCATTCATTAGCTTGTTTGTGTTCTGATTGTTTGGCTGGTTCCTCACTCCCTAGGCAGCAAGATTTATCCTCTTAGTTTAACACTACAAAGTAATCAAATTGCTCCATTACAGTTGAAAGGCTTTAGACAGCCTGGAGGGAAGTGGAAAAGGCGGGGCATTTCTGTGGCAGTCATGTATAGAGTAAGTTGTCTCATCAGTTAATCCTAAAGTTCATATTCCTCTTGCCTCCTTTCATGAAATGTCGAAACACTTAACTTTAATGACTGATGTAAGAAGGACGTACAACTCTCAGCTGAAATTAAACTTGATCTACCTTCTGAGATTGTTGACCAAGATTCACTTCTGATCGAAAACAAAAAGTTCTCATGCAGCCTCTTTCTTCTCTTTTTGCTTCAAGCCAAACCCAAACATCTTTTTTTGCAACCAAAAGGAAATAAGCATTTGGGGCAACAGGATGTTCCAGCAAACAAGCCAATACAGGAATAAAGAAAACAGGAAAGGAAATAGAGTCATGGCTTGTCCGGCTGCACACTTAAATGCCAGATCTTAACAAGAAAGACCAGAAAGCTATCATTTTAAACGTACATCCCCATATTGTCAAGACTGATCCCTTATTGCAGAACATCAGGAATCCATAAAACCTGTGATGCCCCTTGCTACATCACAACTCTTTGAGTTTATCTTATTTTTGGAAGATTGGTCATAGAATCGTAGAATTGTGGAGTTGGAAGGGACCCTGAGGATCATCTAGTCCAACCCCCTGCAATGAAGGAATATTCAGCAGTCCCATATGGGGATCGAATCGGCTGCCTTGGTGTTGTCAGCACCACACTCTCACCAACTGAGCTATCCAGCCACTTGCATCCGTAGTAGAGAATCCCTGCTTACACAGCACTAAAGTTAGTGAAAATGTGGGGTCTGAGCATATAGAGTTCACATTGTTATCAACATGAAAGGAAGCACAAGGGCCATGTAATACTACCTCCTGCAATGCAGGAATCTTTTGCCCAAATGAGCTACCGGTCAGAGCCAGATGCATAAGCCACATCACTGGAATCAAAGAACAGGGGAACTGCAGACATATTCTGAACATATTCTTATTTATTTTCAGTATTATTACTCAGAGCTCATGGTCTTTTCACAGAGCAATGAGCCTTCATTTCAGCTGCCTCGTTTGTTTGGAAAAAGTCACCTTAGATGATGCATCATTAGCCCCACACATGTGATTATTTAAATGTTGGTTTGGAAGATTTTAAGCCATTTTGAAAGTACAAAGAACAGTTCTCATTGCAGGCCAAAACTGCATTAGGTCAGAATATTGAGGTCTCCAGACTGTGCTGTCCTTACATGTTCCATATACAACTAGACTGGGCTGTATTCGCCAGATTTTCCTTTTTGGATTTCAATGCACATTAAAATGGACTTATTCAAACAATGACTTGCAACTGGCGTTGCCCCAAGCAGGAATATGATATCACTCTGGATCACTTTTTATACTTTTCTAAGAAGTTGCCTCACATACTTTGGTCTGCCTGACTTCAACAAAGCCTATTAAATCTCAGAGAGCGGGGAGCAAATGCCCCAAATAAAATCAATGGAGTTACATTTTAGGCTGTGTCATGTAGCATTTGACATTTAAGCTAAGACAGCACATTACTTAAGAGTGCTATTTTGAGGGTGGGGGTTTGGGTTTTCCATTCCTATTATTTCCTATTTATACTTCTAAACCTTTTTTTAAAAAAATAATAATAATAATAATAACAAGTTGGCAAACCTAATGCGCAGAAGCACTAGGGTCAAGCTGTGTATTTGGCAATCTATTAAGTTACTAAGAGGTCAGTCGATGGGTCTCAAACCCTGAGTGAGTTAGGGATTTCCCCTGCATTTGAAGACAGGCTCTGGTGGATTGAGCAGACAAGACCGTGGTGGGTCCAACGGACAAGAAGGAGGTTTCTGCACGTGCTGTAGAGGGAAGTGAGGGGCAGATGGGGCTTGTCAATCTGGGAAGGTTGCCCATCCAGGAGAAGGAAGAAACTACGCTGCCTTGTGGGATACCTTTGGGAGGAGATGGCTAAGGAGTAAACTCTACAGAAATACATAGTGGAGTCCCTAAGATGGCTGGATGGTGCCTCCTTCCAGCAACTCCTGCAGGCAAGGTGGTGCCAAACGTATTGATCTGCTTTTCCTTGGACCACACCAGTGAGCCCAAGAGGAGGCCTTTGTCACCTGGGTAGCCCAGGACCTCCATACATGCTGCCCAAACTTGTGCCCCAGGGAGGTTGCTTTGGGGCTGCTAATGCAGCAGTTTGACTTGACCCTTGGAGACACATTCTATTGTCTCTTGGGACAGATGGGATGCCAGCCAACCGTTTCATTTATATATGCTTATGATATATTCATATACAATGCTTTTAAAATGTGTATCAAACATATTTATACTATTCTATCCTTTTAACAGTTAAGTAAAGCTGTTTTAACCTAGCTGGGTTGAAAACTTAAGTTGTGAGCCTTTCAGAACAGAATATATGTACCTCAATAAGAAATAGATCAAGCCTTAGCGATTGCATGGCAAGCAGGGAATGAAAATTACGTTTGTGTGCGTCTTTGTGTGTGAATGGGTTTTGCTTTCAGAGGGCTAAGAAGTAAGCAAGATGGCTTGCATCACAGTTCACATCCATAGTCAATCTGGACTTTTGCTACTTTAACCTTTGGCCCTACACAAATGGCAGATGCTTCCATGCATGCAAAATAACAATATTGAGACAATTCAAACCTGGACCTTGGTAGAGAAGAGTGCTGCTTTCACAAGCCAACTGGCATTATGGATTCTATTGGAAATAACTTTTACCTACCGAGACAGGTGAGCAGTTCTCTCTCAGGACCAATTTGGAGAAGCCAATTAGGATGGTGAAGGCAATTGTGAAGAAGACCTAGTGTTAACTGAGGAGGCCAACTGGGAAAAGGATTACAATTCACAAAAAAGGATTACAATACCTAAATCAGTAAAACCCAAGGAGGCACTTGTCTGCAGCATTTACATTTCCCTCTTATTTTTGCTTGTTATAGGATCCCTAGCCCAGATCCTTGGTATGTTTCAGTTTCATAAATTTATTTATACGATAGTATTAATAAAACAATGCAGAACATAACATAAGCCAACATCCACGATGTAAGAGCAAGAAGTTACCAGAGATACCAACAAACTCAAATCCAGCTTGTTTTCAGATTAAATCTCCGAATCATCACAACTATTTATAGCAATTTTATCTAACTCCTTTTTCCTGGTTTTTTTCTGCAGTCGGTGCATAGAGAGCCACTCTGTATTACAAAGCTATTATTCTCACTCATAAGAAACTGAACCATTTCTGCCAGGGTGTAACTATTTGCTTGCGTGAACAAAGGTTTCAGAATCTCTTGGGTCTCTATATAAGCTGCAGGCTAACGGATAATGAGTGATGTCTTCCACCTGGGGTTGACCACAAATACAGAGTCCATCTGTGTTTGACCATCCAAGACTGCGGTGGGCATCACTTGGAAATACAGCTCAATAAAGGCCTTTCTTAAGGAAACTGGTGAGAGTTTGGTCAGATAACCAGCTCTAAAATGCTCTGTTCTCATGAGTGGATACCCAGAGGAAAATTCGGTGTTTCTAATTAGTTGCAGGTTCCTTTGGGATTCTATCCAGAAGAGGCAATCCCTTAGCTGACACTCATTCAAAGTCAAAGCAGAGCTCAGTTCTGGAAAATAATAATATTCTAAAACATATTGACAAGCTGCTTTCCAGAGTTGGTTATCACCCAATTTCATATAACACAGTGCAGGAAAATGCTCAGTAGGCCATAGTAGCAATTTTTAAACTATACTTTAACACAGCACAGAGCACTCTTGCCTTAATTACCTTGGTATGTGTATATGTGAGAATACTGGTTCTTTGTGTGTACGAATTAAGTTTTAGTCTGTCTAGCCAGAATAATTCCTTCACTCCCATTTCTATCCCTCATTTCCACGGTTACTCTTCATTAGCAAGAGAACCCTCTGGCTATAACATTTGGTTAGCAAAATAAAAAAGCTTTGAACCTTCCCCCCCCCCTTTTTTTTTGTCGTCTGGCTGTTTATCCTGGGATCTTTGTGCTCCCTTTTTCAAAGAAAGATCTGTGAGTTGTGTGTGTGTCAAACTTGGATCAAATCGGCATACACTACAAGGCTGTTGTTTAAAGTTCACAGTCCACTTCCATCCCAACCTGGGCCTGTAACACTACCTCACAGGGTTATTGTGGGAGAACACTGTATGCCACACTGAAATCTTTGAAGAAAAAGGGGAGAAATAAATGCAATGAATAAATAATGTTAAATGCTGCTACAGGATAGTTCAGAAAGCGACAGGTTTGTGCATCATGAAGAGCACTCTCATAGTTCTGTGATGAAACATACACTTAATTAACCTCATTTGCTGAGCAAATATGCATGGGTGGAGGATGCATGGCAAACCAATGCGAGGAATGAACACCATGAGGATGACAGGGAAGTTACTCATGACGCAATGGCACACAGAAGCATGCAACTTCCGAACCTGTGCCTTGGGTGGCATTTCGTTTTCAAGAAACAATGCCTGGAATTCCGAGCAGCACCAGCAAGTCACTTCTTGTCAGCGGAGCTTTGCAGACAGGCAGGTAAGCAAAAAAGCTGGGAATGCTGACACAAGACTTCTTTATAACTGAAAAGCAGCTCTACCATATACTTTGATACATTAAGACTGGATTATTTCCTAGGGAAAATGCAACTCTATTAGCTAAGTGGTTGAACCCACCCCAAGCAATCATAAATGCTCACTAGGAAACACTGGATTTTTTAAAATGCCCCCAAAGTCTCTAAAAGGGGTCTGAGGCCTTGTGCCTCCTTCCCAAAGCCCAGGAAGTCTTTGTAAGCTGGCGCCTCTGACCCTAACTGTTCCCCTATGGAAAATTTCACTGCACACCACTGATGGGCAGCCTGGCTCTGGCATAGGCACCAATCCCATTTGACTCAGCAGGGCCCACTTAGGAGAAGACTCAGGTGCCCTGACTACTTTAGCATGGATAATATGTTTATCTTTTAAATTCATTTTGGCTGAGCACATAAAAGAAACTTTGCAACTGTCTCCTCATGTAGAACAAGGTCTCATGACAGAAGCCTGTGGCTTTAAATCAGCAATGCAAAGCATTTAAAAGCAGCAGCATCAAAAACAGATACTTGCTCCTTTTGGAGTAAGTTGCACTCTTTGACAAGGGAGGAACAGAAATTCCATCCCAATGAGTCATCACTGGGCAGCCGAAGATCAACCCCTTTGGCCTGTGTTTCTGATGGCTGCATTGAACGGAGCTGTTTTTGTAGCCCTTGTGATTTTTGAAAAATGAAAAGGGATAAGTTAAGGGTAAGTTAAGAAAACACAAGCAATCCTAAAGGAGCAAGCTGGAGAAAGTCTAGTAAGTAAAAAAAATAAGAATAAAAACCAGGATCACTTAATCTACTTGGTTTCTAAAAAACTAAAAGAATGCAGCAATTGCTTTCATATGAGGAAACTGTTCAGAGCACTCTAACAAAAGCAGAAGCAGCTGGAAAGAACAAAATTGAATTAAATCCGCTATCAGTTCTGTATCCTTCTGCTGACTGTACCAGATGAGTACCTGATAGCTATTTGGAAACAATTATCTAACCGTATTGGAAGATTGCTTTTAGGGGTTGAGTGGAATGATACGGAACTGGAGCCCACTTAGCTTGGTCACCTGTGGAAAATTTAACCCTGAAGGTCAGTCATTAAGATGCAGGCCTGGAAATGTGTTCATTCGCTAGCCTCCTCCCCCCCCCCCCTTCTAGTAA